GTCCGTAGATTTACGACTTTTACCTGAAGCGGATATATCCGCAAAAGATTTTCCAAATTTTCCCTCAACGTGATTAGACGCTTTTTTTTCAAGAAAGAAGTCTGATGGAGAACTCTCACGAGGGACTTGAACTTTTTATTACTATTTCGATTTATTAGACAGAATTCATTTTCAAATTGTGAACGGAAACAAATTCGAAACAAAAAAATTTTCTCTAGGGGAAACCCACCCTGTACGTACAATTCAAGTTCAATCATCTCGATTCCTGTGAAAGATATCAAAAAATGTCAACTGTCAAAATATTTGTGATATTATCATAAACAATTCTTCAGTTGACAAATTTTTCATATCTGTCACAGAAATTGAGATAATTGAGCCCCAAGCGAACGTTTAGGGTAGGCTTCTATTAGAGAAGCTTCGATATTTTTGAAACCAAAAATAATAAGAATTTTCAAACTTTGTCAAAATATTATACGATGAGACTCACCATGATAACGCAAAATGTTTTAATGAACAATTTCTTTGGCTTTCAAAAAATCTTCAGTATTCTTTTTTCATTATTCCTGGTACTTTCATTGTTTTCTATGACGTTGTTCATGTGGCTCGTGAGTCTTTGGAATCGAATTTGAACTACTCTCTAAATGTAAGAAATAATCCAAAAAAAATTGAAAGAATCCGAAGATTTATTACTTTCATTTTAAGTAGACTTACTTTGTGAAATACTTCACTCGTAGGTAATTTAGTAATTGAGTACTGCACTCAACATGATCGAATCCTTCTTTTTTAATGCTTGATAAAAACTGGGGACTCTTTTTCAGAAAATTTTTAAATTAAGATTTTTAAATTAAGTATTATTTTTTTGCAGTTTCTTCTCACAGAAACATCGAGAGATTTTGTGAGAAGGTCTGAAAAGGAGTGACGTGTTCTACGGTTTTTTGATTTGCAAAATCCCACAGAACAAGTAATAAAAGGGCCTTATTTTTTTAGTTTCTGTTTCCCCTAGCTTTCAGTCTCTATTATTTCTTTTTCTTTTTTTTCGCTAGAGAATCTTTCGAGATTGAAATTCATGGTTCCCAAGAAGAGACCAAAAAAAAAAAGTCAAGAGATTGATGGTTTCTACTTTGAGAAGACTCCACTAGGAGGTATCCAAAAATGCACTCTCCATGATTGGGTCCCGCTTTTTTTAGTGAAACAAAGCAGTCCAAGTTTATTTCTCATTTATACTGATTGAAATCTTTAGTTGATGCTTCTCACGACATTTCTCTCTTATCCATAATTTTGAACACCAAACACCAATTTCTTGTTACTGTTATTGTATTTTGCAACATTGTTCTGTCTAGCTGGCAGATGTTTCTGAGTTTTGCAACAACATTCTCGAAATTCGAAATTCTCATTTTGAGGTGACTTGTTTTTTAAAAAGGTTTTTATGCTTTAGAGATCTGTTTTATTGCCAGATTTTTTGATTTCTTATCTTTCCGGTTACTGTAAATAAAGAAGCTTTATTTTCTGTAAAAAGACAACCAAAAATATGCATACCAGTTATTGCTGATGACTTTTTGTTTGTGGAAACGATCACATATACTTTATTGCTTCCCTACCACTTCTTGCTCTAATCTCAGAATCTGATGCGTTCCAGCTTCTGAACCCTAACCTTGATTCGAACATCTGCCAACCAAAACCTTCGCTTTTTCTATTTGATTTATACATACTTCACTGTCTACACCTGACTGGACGCCAAACCACGGGTTCCCCCAACCACGCCTCCTTTTCTTTTCTCAAAGTCTGTCCTCTTCAGACAAAATTAGTGAGTGTTTTGAATATTTCCGAATACATAAGCATATGTTTGAGGTTTTGCGTTTTTCAGTTTTATTTTTGTATTCAGTTTCTTTCTTGATAGAAAAATTGTTAGGTACTGTATTCTGGAAATATTTCAAAAATTGTCGGATTTAGTCTTTTGAGAAACGTTTTTGGGATGACTCACTAGTGCCTGGTGAAACATTATTTGCAAACAATCGAATTTACAAATTTTGTTTTTTCTCTCTGACTTCATTTTTAACTCCCATTGTTCTGCAGTTTTTCTATTTCATATCAGTTTTTATTTTTATTTTCGAGATATCTTTTCACAAAAATCAGATTTTACAGCTACAATTCAAACACTGACTCTGCGAAGCTCTTCTCACATGCTGCGCCTCTCGGAGATTTTGTTCTCTAGCTAGGTAAGAAGAAGACTCCGCCCCGCTTCCCATTCGCTCTTTCCTTGACTGTTATTTCAATTCTGTTGTGGTTTGCCCCCGCATGCACTCTTCTCTTCCGGCGACTCACCGTCTCTCTTGTTTTTAATATGCCGTGTTTTCTCGAATCGAAATCGAAACATTTCAGGAATCTCAAACATGTCGACTACAAACCCTAGGATGTCGAGTGAGCGGTTGGAGCTGGAGCAAAAAAAGAATTTGATCGTTCCAAAAAGTGAAGTAGAGGTTAGTGAGAATTTGAAAATTAGTGGGAGCCAATATTGATAAATGATTATTGATAAATAAAAAAACTCTAATTCATAATTTTTCGAGTTGGTTTCCAATTACCATGCTCAAAGAGACCCAGAAGGTTTGGTTACAAATTGCAGCCTACAGATAAATTTTAGGCCAGATGAAATTCAATAGTTTCAAAGTGGACGTCAAAATGATCTGAGTATTGAAAATCAACGCTCGCTTTGTTTCGCTCGTCGTTGCGTGTTTGACACTGCCAAAAAGTGTGATATGTTCAGTAGGTAGTGATATCTACAGTTCGCTGGGGCGCCACTGTTTCAGCTTTTCGGGTGGATGTGCATGCTTTTCATTTTTTGAAAATATTAGAAAATATCAATAACGTTACATTAGTAAGTTGCTTTTCGTAGTTCCTGCAAGAAGCCAAACTATTAGATTAAAGAGCAACCAAGATTAAGATGGACCACTTATATCACAGAACCAGTCATATATTAACTTAATGAGCATACCTCAGAAAAACCTTGAGTTCTTGACTTTTCGACCTTTCCAAACTAATCAAACGGATTAATGATTCATTAATGTGGAGCGGTATAAAAAACCAGCTGCTTTAGCGAATCAGGTAAATTTTCCACTATTTACATGTTTCGAAAAGAAAGGTGCACCTGTTGAAAAGCAGGTGGTGTTCACAATAATAAAAATGGGGCAATACTGACCACACAAAGAGTAAATTGGTCAATTTATCCAATTTAGGATCCACAGAACGATGAGAAGGCAGTTGTGATGACAAATGAGTTGGACAGTGTCGAGCATTTTTATCCGAGTTCAGAGGACAATGCTGGATTCTTCAGTGGGATTTTATTCTCGTATGTAGGGACTTACTGGAGTAGGACGAAACACGCCAAGACTGATGCTGAATTATTGGAGAAACCGTCAAAAAAGATCACCGCTGCTCATGCGTCTGCGAGACTTGAGAGGTGAGAAGTTTTTGTGGGAGATATTTTTCAATACCATGATACTTCAAGTGCTCTATTAAATAGCAATTTTTTCCCGTGCACTTTATGCTTAATTATCTCATTTCCTTCAATAGATATCAAGGTTTTGTCAACCGATACATTGTTAGTAATTTCACGAGAAACATTTCATTTGTTGACTCTGCCGCCTAACTGGCAGTATAAAGACAACTGACAATTGTACTTTTCTCTGAAACCGTCAACAATTAATGTACCTGGAAAAATATCAATTGTTCCAAATTTTCCAACAAGTTTGAAAATTACAAAAACTTCTGAGTATACTGTACAGAATTAAAGTTTCAGATTTATAATTTACTACTTTTTGTTACATGTTTACAAATTGATTCTCATTTCAGCACTTAGAATTGTTGCTTCTTTTTTGATTACTACGGAACATCTCTGTAGAATTGGATTTGGCGAAAGATTTGTCAATTGTAAAATTGATACACTGATTTTGTGGAATATTTCTGAAATTTTCAAAAGAAAATATTCTGGAATGCTTTTTCAGAACCCCAAATATGATTAATTGCCCCTATAAACATGAGAAAATGATATATTCTTGGTCCTACAGTGAATCACAACGGATTATTTAATTAACCTTTCTCAACGGTTTATCGTATGGTTTTATTTTTACAGTGCTTGGAACACCCCTGATGCAAAAGGCCGTCACTTTCTATATGGTGTCTATGTAGCTATCAGATCCGCTGTGTTCCTTCATGCATTACTCCTATGTTTGGAAGAACTGACACGTGTTGCCCAACCACTGCTTCTCCGAGAACTGATGAGCCACTATGATTTGAAGGATGGAGAAGTATTTGCATTCTGGTCAGCTTTGACTGGTGAAGAAATCTGAAAAAATTATCACTTATAATCCTTTTTTAGTTGCTGTTATAATCTCGGTCCTGTCTTTTGTCACTGTCGTTATCCACCATCCCTACTTTCATGGACTTCTCAATGTTGGAAATCAGATGAAAGTTGGAACCGGTGTTCTCCTCTACAAAAAGGCTCTTCGGCTCTCTCTTGGATCATTGGCGGATACCAACAGTGGACAGATCATCCAGCTTCTGAATACGGACGCCGCTAAGCTCGAGCAGGCATTTCTTTTTGCACATTACGTATGGCTATGTCCTCTTCTGATGTTCTTCTACGGATTCATTCTCTGGTACTATTTCGGAAATTCTTGCCTTCTTGGATTCATTGTCATGATGCTTATTGTCACCTTCCAAGTTCATTTTTCGTACCAGCTCGGAGTCAACCGTAAAAATATTGGTGATCGTATGGATGATCGTTTGAAAGTGATGAGTGAACTGATTAACGGTATGAGAGTTATCAAAATGATCTGTTGGGAGAGCTCGTTTGCCGACAAAATCCTGGAGCTTCGGAAGTGAGTTTTCAATTCAGTTTTTAAAAATTATAATGATTTTTAGACGTGAGATTACCGCTGTCGGAAAAACGTCTTACTATTCTGCAATGGTGATGGGAATCTACTTCATTTCCGCAAAAATCGGCTTGTTCGTCTACATATTTTCCTGTCTGTACTCAGGGGAAGATCTATCAACAAAAAGTGTTTTTGCTGCCGTGAGTATCATTTGAATAATTTGAAAATCTCAAAATACACTTTTCTAGTCAGCCTTGTACAACTCTGTTCGTTTGCCCTTTGCGCTATTCTTACCACTCGGTTTGCTGTTTGGAAGGGAATTGATTTCTACAAGTCGTCGCATCAATTGCTTTTTTAAACTTCATGAATTCTCGAGAACACCAAAATCTCGAGATTCTGAAGACAAGTCAAACGTTAAAGAGGAAAAAATAGCATTAACTTCCATGGAAACTCCAGCCAGTTGGATTTTGGATGACACTAAAACGGATACACCATCGATTCATTTGAATGACGTGACGTCTGTCTGGTACGACGATGATGAGGCAGAAGAACAGGAGAATCTCAAAGAATTGAAGAAATCGGACGATAATGAAGAAGATGTCGATACAAACGAGGCTAATCCATCATCCAGTGTCGTTTATGGTATTCAAGATGTCACGATAGTCTTGAAATCTGGAGAATGCTACGGTATAATTGGTTCAGTGGGAAGTGGAAAGTCCTCTCTCTTACTCACTATGCTGTCAGAGGCTAAAATGTCAAAAGGGCGTATGGAAGTTCACGGATCAATTGCATATTGCGCTCAAGAGCCATGGACTTTTACGGGAACTGTTCGAGATAACATTCTCTTCGGAAACGAGTACGATGCTGAACGATACCAGAATTCTTTGGAGTTGTGCCTTTTGAATCATGACCTTCGCCAGCTTCAAAATGGAGATATGACGGTGGTCGGTGATAATGGATCGACTTTATCTGGAGGACAGAGAGCAAGAGTTGCTCTTGCCCGAGCAGTGTATGCCGATGCTGATATCTATTTGCTCGACGATCCATTGTCAGCTGTCGACGCACATGTTGGAAGGAAATTATATGAAAAGTTAGTGATTCACGTAGAATTTTATATATTTGTTTGAAAAGTTTATTTGAAATTGTAAATGAAAATATATACAGTACTGGCAAAAAAAATGCGTCGGCAGTGTCGACTCAACAGGTTTTTTGACTGTAACTTTCTTCAAAATTGAGCTAAAGTGCCAAACTTTTTTTAAAAATGTATCAAATAACCATAGAAAAAATATTTTTAAACATTTTAACCCAGTTATTAGGGATTCGGGGGTACAAAATGACTGGGTAAATTTTATTTTCCGTTCCGTTGAGTTGAAATTTTTGGTCTAAACGAAGCTGCGAACCATTTAAAGACAAAATTTCGATTTCAAAGTGCAAAAAATACAACTTGCTAAAAATTTTTACCCTCGAATCATGGATTTTGTACCCCTAAATCAGTTGTACCCCCTTGTACCCCCGAATCGTTGTACCCCCCCCCCCCCCCCCCAGAATTTTTGCCTAGATCTTTTGTCATAATATCACCAATATTCTATTAGTTGACAATCTATATCCCTTATAGGGACCGAGATGATTGAGCTTAAAGTGCACGTGTAGGGTGGGTTTTCTACTAGAGCAATTACGGTAAGCCGACTTTTAATAATTTTGAAAGGTCCGGTATACTTTCTCTGCTCCCGGTCATTTCATAACTTTCAAAAATCCCCCAAATTTCATTTTTCAATGATCTCAACTATTTTCCACTGACTTGAAATTATGTTCTCTGCTGGTAAATTATACCATAGTTTTCAGTCTTATCCGAGGATTCCTATCGGATAAGCTTGTTGTCCTCGTCACTCATCAGATCCACTTCCTCGGTACATTGAACACCGTGTGCCTCATGAAAAACAACAAGTTCATCGGGTCAGGAACTCTCGATGATCTCCGAACAAATTTTTCTGAGAATTCATCCATTTGCAAATTTCTGCATCCGAAGAGGACAACAATGACGATGAGCTGTACAAACACGAGAAAACTCCAGATTCTCCCCCACCGACTCCAAACAAGGCAAAGCAAACCACTGACGATGAGATTTTCAACAACATGAGAGAAATGTCTGTTGAGAGAAGTGAATCAGATTCTAAGACCTCTAGAAAGAACACAGATGCAAATATGGAGGCTAGGAAAAATGGGAGCATCTCTTGGATGGTGTACTGGCGATACACTCATCAGTTCTGTTCCCATTAAAATGCGGAGTTCTTCTTGTGATTTGCGTTCTGTTCACTCAATTCATGAATAACTTTGTGGATTGGTGGCTCAACAAATGGTTAGATAGTTAAAGATATATGATGGAATTATAGATTCATTTTTCAGGCTTGTGGATTTGGATGAGTGGAATGCAAACAACAGCACCACAAAAGAAGAGTTCTACAGAAAAATTGCTTTCCTCGGAGTCACGTATCGAATCACTTTCAAAGATTATGAAATTTCGTTTATAGTCATCACTGTCACGGTATCACTTCTTGGAGTCATTCGATCTGTTTGGTTCCGGTATGCTCAATTGAATGCGTCTCGAGTTTTGCACAGTTCGATGTTTGATTGTGTCCTCAACGCTCAATCGGAGTTCTTCGAACGCAATTCGGAAGGTATGGAGAATGCCATTTGGGTTTAAAACATCATTGAGAATTTTTTAGGAGCAATCTTGAACCGTTTCTCCAAAGACATTGGCTTGTGTGACGACATGCTGTCTTTCTGCTACTTTGAATTCGTCTTTGTAAAATTATCAATATCAGAAAAATTAATGTTACATTCTATAAATTTCCAGGGTGGCTTGACGTTCCTCGGTATCGTTGGATTGGTTACAATGGTCAAACCTATTGTCCTTTTTGCTTGCACTCTCATCACTTTCGGTTTTTACTACTGTAGAAAAATTTATGTAGTGAGATCCCGAGAGTTGAAAAGAATCGAAGCTGCGGGTAAGCTCTTCTAGCTTTTTTTGTGAAACATAGGAAATTACAGCTCGCTCCCCACGAATACAATCATCACTTCTACAGTTCACGGCTTGGCCACGATTAGAGCTTTCCGTAAGGAAGCCGAGATGATGGAGAAATTCTGTTCCCTTCATGTGAGTGTAGTTTAGTGCGAAACGAATAAAAGTGAGGGAGATCCCTATTTTAAAAAGTTCTATTTCAGGATGTGTACATGGCTGCATACAACATGAGTCTTCTGTCGGCCAGGTGGTTTGGAATCTGTATTGACCTATTAGTTTCAGTATTCATCTCAATTGTCGCTATTGTGGTTGTTCTACAATATGGTAAGTCAACATATATATTTACACAAGTATCTGATTTCCGAAAAAAAACACAACAAATCCCTTTTTCAGAAACGATGACAGTCGGAGAAGTTGGATTGTGCCTTGTGTGCGCTGTTCAGCTGAGTGGCTTTTTCTCGTGGATAATGCGGCAGAGCGCGGAATTGGAGAACGGAGTGAGTTTATTTTTTTGTGTTTTGTCTCTTTTGGTTTGGTTTTTGCGCTGCGGAGATTCCTGCTGACTATACCCCTCGGGGTGCAACATCATGAATTTAAAGAGTTTTGGTCAGTGTTCAAGCGCTTGATCAGACCCCCCCCCCCCAAAGTGAAGTGGTTTGTCGCATTTTCCACACATCACAACAAACACAATCGGAATGTTTGTCTCCTATTGGAAGCCAAATGAGCGCGTACCTCCCACCTACCGAGAAAACTTTGCTCGACCTTTTATTCTAAAATGAATAGAGCGAATGTTGCAAAAAGAAGACAATACAAACATGGAATGAATTTGATTCATTGGTTTCTTGTTACAGATGGTTTCAATTGAGAGAATCTTGGAGTATACCGAATTGAAGTCAGAGGAAGATTTGAGACGACCACACGACACATACCTGGATGACTCACTCAAAAACGCTTGGCCAACTAAAGGACAGATCGAATTTGAAGACGTTCGAGTCAAATACGGAGAGACCTATGTACTCAACAATTTGAGTTTTGTTATCCTTGAAGGACAAAAAGTAAAACCAGACTTCTTGAAAACCTAAAAACTTCCAAACTTTCAGATCGGAGTTGTCGGTAGAACCGGTGCTGGAAAATCCACGCTCATTAAAGTCTTGTTTGGTCTCAAAGAATACTGTGGTGGACAGGTCAGAATCGATGATGCAGACTTGGATAGCATCAGTCTCAAATTTCGACGAGCTGGCATGGCTATAATTCCACAGGAGCCAGTCATCTTCTCCAGAACTATCCGAGAGAACTTGGATCCATACAATCAGTACTCAGATGCCGATATTTGGAATGCATTGGAAAAGGTAGGGACAGTTTGTAGACCTCCAAACAATCTAATGATTTGCAGTGTGAGCTCAAATACACTATCGCCAGAGACCGAGGACTCGATGTCACTCTTGGACTTCGTGGTGTCAACCTATCAGTCGGTCAACGCCAACTCTTCTGTCTCGCTCGTGCCATGCTCCGCAAATCTAAGATCCTTGTCATCGACGAAGCCACTGCCAATGTCGACGGAGTTACGGATGCGTGCATTCAGAGAACCATTCAGGAAAGCTTCAAACACGCTACCGTAATTACTGTTGCTCACCGTTTGCACACCATTATGAACAGTGATAGGATAATGGTAAGAGGGAGAAATTTCGGCAACATTCCGGAAACAAACAATGTTCGCAACTTGCAGGTGTTCGAAAAAGGAGAGCTTTAAGAGTTCGACAAACCTCTGACCCTCCTCAATGACCCGACCTCGTTGTTTGCAAAAATGGCCTATCAGTCTGGAGCTGATAATTTTGATGCTCTTCGTAACGCCGCTGAAGCTTATGCGCAGGAAGACCAACGCAGAAGATCTTCCGAGGAAGATAATTAATTTAATAATTAATTTAATCTTCATGCTTTAACTGAAAACTAATCTCAATCATAGAATGATCAATAACACTTCATTGCAATTCAATTGCTTCAAATCTTCTTCCCCCCCCCCCACCCCCCCATTCACTTACCCCCTTACATTCCCTTCATCTTCTTATTCACATTTTACCATGATCTTCTTTCTCGCAATCACTTGTTTTGGAACCCGTGATTCCAAACATTTTCTTTCGTGTACCTTCTCAAATTTCCCGTTTTGCATTTTCTCTCAACCCATCGACTTTGACGTAGTATTTCTATGTTTCTGTGTTACTTACAAACCCCATCTCGTGAAAAATATTTTGATCCCCTTTCTTGTCGAATAAATCAGCTACTAATATTTTTGTGTCCTCTATTTGCCCCATTGTCTGATAAAAACTTGTTTAGATCTGGGTCGATGATGAAGGAGCAGTCATTGGTTGCCAAAAATGGCAATCTCGAGTGGGCTCTCTCCTCGTTGCTTTTTTTTCTCTCGCTCTAATTAGAAATTGATCGAGAAATGCGGGGCCTCTCTCAAGTGATATTCGGGAGGCCTTGGAACCAGGTGCGAATTGCGATTTTTGTAGGATCTTCAAGCACGCCCCATGTTGGTGCTTTACAAAAAAATCGAGGACGGTATATAAAGCACAGAGAACGCGGCAGCGAGAAAGAGCTCCCCGCGCCCTTTTGCGTCCTCCCGCTGCCTTGAAGCAATTCAAAAACCGACCCGCACCTTTTCGTGCGTCGAGTGCTCCATTCAATTTGCACTCATCTGTGTTTTTATTTTAAAACATTCGATACACTCTCAAGTTGCGGGTGAGTCCACAGAAACAAAGTTTCTTCATTCAAAACAAATTTCGACAGACTCAATCATGATGAGACATCGGTTTCTACTTATATGTCTTATATTTCCTCTAGCATTCGCAAGTTTAGAAGATGTCGAGTTGGATAGTGCTGAAATAGAGAAAGAAGTGGTGAGTTTTCAGAAGTAGACTTTTCCTATCTTCTTGTAATCTTCTGAGTTCAGCCGGCTCGCTTCCGATCCATTAAAAAGTTTGGAAGTCATCAAGATGCGAGCAATCAAGAAGTTGCCGCTGTATCTAACGAAGATAACACTGACGACCCAGAAATTGTCGCACCAAACAAACCATACCTAATGGCAGATTCTTCTTTTGAACAAGAAGAAGAATGTGTTGCTCTTCCAAACAGAACTCGAGTACGCCCATCATTTTTCCAGTGCAAAGACGGTACGAACAAGTTTTTATCCTAATCAACTTATCAAAATTTTGCAGATACGAAGTTTGAACTTCACGGTGGTGCTATAACAAATGGTAATGGAGATGACGCCTACCCGGTGTCTTTCAACTCCCGAATTCGAATTTTCCTGGATGTCACTAGCAGTTCCAACAAGCGATACGACAACTTGGGGGTGGAAGTTTCGATTTTCAAGCGATCAACCGGATGGTTCGGATGTGGGTGGATGTTTTTGCCAAGTTTTGGATTGCTGTAAGTAGTTGTTGTTCACACTAGAAAAATCTCGATGAACACACATCATCATGCAAATCGGAAACCCCATTTATATTTACAGAAGCAACTACGACATGTGTGACGACAACCCATCGTGCCCGGTATCTCCAGGACGTCAAGTTATCGAGTTTGAAATAGATCCGACAAAGTTGTTTACGAATCTTTTCCGAATGATTCACTATGACCTGGTGGGTACTATGCATAAGGTAACTGTGATGGCTGTAGATTGTACTGGAGAGCCGTTGGCGGACCCTTTTTCGATTTTTTTTTTTGTTTTTTCAACATGATTTTCATTTTCAGTCTGCCTATCAGTTGGTGATACGTCTACGAGACAACCGGGATCCATACCGAGAGTTGTTGTGCGCCACTATCCAGACAAGAATCACACTTTGAGTTCCCAGGACTTCGAACGAAAAACTAAAGATTGCTAAAAACAGTATTTGATATAACCGGGACGCAGATTAATATTATTTTATTTATTTCCTTATTTTCCTCTCCCCTGTGAATTTTGAAAAAGAAAACCAAGTGGTTTCAGTTTTATTAATTGACTTCATGTTACAGGTTTATCCAAATGAAAAAAAATCAAATAAATTACTTTTTTCTTTGTTTTTACTGAATCAGAACAGCTCAAGTGCAGCAGTATTTGAATAACAAGAATTGGAAGTCTTGTGGGATTCGGCAGCCGATCTCTGTTTTGAGGCATGTTTATCAGTAGCAAAGCGAGCTGATAATACCGAAAAACATTGTTCTGCTGCTGATAGAAGGAATTAACTTCTTACTCGCGAACGAAACTTCCAGAAAACTGCGATTCTAGGAAAACAAAACCTGAGAAGAACAAGCTTGGAAGTGAAACTCTGTTTAAAGGGGCTTGAGGAGTGAAATATTAATAGAAAATTATACAAGGTGTTTGGGTAAAATTACAGACACCAAGCGTTCTCTAATTTTTCCTCATAAACGATAAGGACGACTTCTCACGGCTCATTCGATTTCCATGGAAAATAAATTTAAAGTAATTGTGGACTTTGATGAATTTCAAATCCCACACCTTTGGACATGTAAATAATGCCAAATCGAGAGAAATCTAGTTAATTAGGTAGATATGTTGTTCGGGAGAGCTGTTGTAGGAATTCCATCAAGTGTAAATGTTCTTGTAGTTAATCTGGTTTGTGGTGTTGTTGCTGATAAATAAACAAAACTACGGTATATCAGATAAGAAACAGAACTCTGCGGGCAGTGGTGCTCTAGAATTTTCTTACGGACAACAACAGAGGTACTGAAAGCGGAAGAGGACTTTGAAGAGGTATGGATGGACTATGAAATAGAAAATAATTGAGCAGTTTTCAAAGTTGATTGAAAGCGGTAGTTCAGTTTGGCAGTGTAAATAAAAGTACGGTTAATAGAGAAAGTTCATCTTCTACAAGTTACGATATCTTATGAAACAAGCTACGAGTCAAAAAAAAAGATCCTTTATTTAGGCAGAAGTGCTGTTTCATAGGCTATGATTGAAATTTCGTCGATTAGTAATTCTCTTGTAGTTCAGCTGGTGTGTTGGTGAAAATGAAGATAGATACGGTATCCAAAGTAGCAGTTTTATGAAATTTTTTCAACACTAACAATGGTGGTACTGTAGGTGTGAAAGCGGGAGAGAAATTTATCTAAAGCATGAATAGAAAACTGTAATTTAGAGGGAGGTACTGTGGGAACATGAAAAATATAAGTCCGTCGACGAGTTGAACTTTCTAGCCCAATGTTCGAGATATCAAGTTGAAACGCGATCCATCAAAAAACTGGAAAATGTCATGTTTTCCTTTTTTTTGAGTGTATACATTTGACCAGAAACTGTTTTAGGAGTTTGGAAAAAAGGAAAACTTTTATTGTGACTGAAATTGACAGACATGGCTTCGAAATTAATGTCAGATATACTGTAAATACTCAGGTTGCTCTAAAAACCGCCCTCTTTGAGCCCATGTATCACATTTCCTAAAACTTTTTTTTAACATCTCAATATTAACAACTTGCGTTTGATTCTCCAGAGTGTATACAGTATACTTCCCTTTTTTTAATTCTCTTAAAAACATTAGTCGTTGAGATCTTTTTAATTGTTTTGAGACGAGTTCTGACTGGAACAAAACAATTATTCGTTGGTAGTACTCATTCCCAAAGGGCTAATTTTGTTGTAGAAGGATTTCCATTAAACTACAGTTTCTCTGCCTTGAACGAATCCCGAAGAGGTTTTCTTCTGACTCATGTAAAACTAAAGATCTCACTTCAGGAACTATGTATCCGAACTACGTTTCGCTAGACACGAGACTAACCATTTGTATCCTCGATTCATTTTTCTGACCTCTTAGATTCACACCTTCTTGAACCAAGATCAAATGTTCATGTTCGCGATCTTTCTTTCGATTGTCAATTAATACTCCATTCAATTACTCAAAAAACTTTAATTTCATGGAAGTGAAGAAAAGATCAGGAGAGAGGAAAACATCACGAAGAGAAAATAATGCAAACGAAATGGAAATACACGTTTTGGCAAGAAAACACAGATATTTGGGAGAGTGAGGGTATGTACATAAAAGTTTGTTCCGAGATCTTCAGAGTATTAGCTGAATTGATATTGGTTGATTGCGAATTGCTGCCTACTCCTCCGATCGGAACATTATCCGTTGTTCCGGTAAAGGTGTAGTCTTTCAAAGAAAGAATCTGGAGAGGCGTTGTTAGAGGTGGATGAATTGGATGCCATGATCCTGGAGTTGGAAGTGCAGCTGTTTTCACAGAATGATCCAAGAGTAGAAGTTCTTGACATTAGTAGATCGTACACATCAGAAGAGAGTTGAGGGTCGTTGAGTATCGTAATGCTCATTTTTACAGTTTCTGAAATAAAAAAGATTTATTTTTGTGGCACAGTTAAATTACTTTTTATTCAAAAAAGATAAAGCAGAGACGATTTCTCGGAAAAAGAAGATATTTGGGAAAGAGGATAAACTGACAAGCGTTCTTTGCAAAAACGGAACGGTAGATTTAGAGGCAGAACACAAAAGATTAGGAGTTTATATACTCAATCCGACACGAAGGGCACCGAAAGTGTGTTCTATGTACTAGGATATTCAGTGAAATTCGACAGGGAAAAAGAAAATAGAACACCAAAAACTCTCATTTTTTTCAATTATTTTGTTTGGGTCCCACAAACTGATAGGAATAACAACTTTTTTCCTCCCCTTCTGATTAATCAGGAAACAACACCCTCTCTCCGGGGGCTCGTACTTGATTACTCTCCTCCCAGTGTGGGTGGGACTAGGATGAAGTCTAGTCGGCAGAAAAAAGGTTCTCGAAAACGTGAACTAGACAAAACAGTACCTAAAGCTACACATAGTCTGACTTCTCTTTCCTTTTCTGAAATTCATTGCGCGCTTTCCTCATGTGACAGCAGGTTTCAAGGTGTGAAACACAAATCAAAATAGACGGAATTTGCAAAGCCCTATCTATCTAGAAGAGACGCAGAGGTCAAGTGTTAAGCAATTGGCTACTAATACTAGTTCGAATGGTCATTCGGCTGGAAGAAAAGCCATTGAAGGTCACACACGTGAAACTGTCGGGTAAATTAGAAATGAATTTTAGGAGGAGTAAAAATGGACTCAAAACTAGAGAAAAGTGGAAATTGGAATTCAAAAGAAATTCAAAAGAGAAAGATAGATATTAAAGTTTCATTCAAAAATATCTGGAAGATTCTAGAATACGAAACGATCATCATGTTTATGAGATCGGCTAGCTTAAAATTTTGCCCCTCTTCAGATATATTGAATACACGTTCCTCAAAACAAAATCTCTTAATCAGCCAACGCTAGTAGAAAACATGTAGTGATTTCAGAGACTCTGCGATCAGTGTAGAGTTAGTCACGTTGTTATTCCATTAAGTACAAAACAACATAATCTATGAATTCAAGTGTGATATCGGAGAATAACAGTGTGTCAGCTCTTCTTTAGAGATTAATCTAAAAAGTGCATGGAAAGAATGATTTGCAAAGAGGAACAAGAACAGGGCTCTAATTCGATCATATCTTACAAAACATTTTAAAAACAATTAGAGAAAGCAGGAAAAGGAAAGAACGCCTTATTGACCGTGTTTTATAGGGTTCTAAAGCTATTCGCTCTCTTCAATCTTGTGTTTCATGGCATCTGAAACATCGCAAATTTTTGTGGAACACAATCAGAAACTTTTTTCAGCAAAAGGAGGAAAACTTGATTTTCAGGAGTGAAGAATTGGAGGTATTTGTAATAGTTGGAAAAGCAAAGTAAAGAAAAATGGAAGAGGAATTCATGGATTCCGAATTTTGCGTCCCACTTTGAAAAATTTTGTTATATTTTATTTTTATTTATGATATTCCCAGGTTTCGTCGTCTGATATAAATATGTGTCACTCAAGATTTCCGTTTAAGGAAAAAATCTACGATTCACCGAAATTTAAAGTTTGTCTGATGCCAATTATGACGAGTATTTTGATTTTTCTTTCCGGAATGAGAAGAAGTGAGACGACATGGGTTGGACAAATTTGTAGAATTCTAGTGGAACCAAGAAAATTCGGGATCTACGTGTCATTGACAGATTGCCGATGTTTTCTAGTTTCACCTGATGCATTTCTAGAGTCATATTGAGAATGATGTTCTATGAGAAATTTAAATATAACCCATAAATTCTTACATCATGTATTTTTGATAGTTTTGTTATTGTTTATCCAGTCCTTTTGGCCAAAAACATTAAAACACATTGGGTGGTGAGACAGAAAGCATTATTACTGTTAGCAAAAAAAAAAAAGAAAAAGGAAAGAAGGTGATATAAAATGGTGTAAACTGAAGAGAACAACTACACATAATAAATGAATGACAGTCGTTGGAACTTGTAAAGAAAGTGTTGGGGCAGAAAAGGAGAGGAGGGCCAGCTAACACTGATAGGTGAGGAGTGACTGGAATTTCTCAAAGATTCAAGATTTGATTCCCATTTCTATTTCTGATTCGATTCTGCCTTGAAATTTCGGAATTCTAGGCAGGTCAATTTGGAGATGAGAAGAGATAAGAAAAAATGATAAGAAAAGCGAGTGACCGGTAGGCGCCGTCAAGTGGTGGTCACTTATCAAAATTTGATAGGAAAAGAAGAGGATGGTTTGAAGAAGACGGAGGTGGTGGAAAGAGGGTTTTTAGCAGTTTTTTAGCGGGGGTTAGTCAGTCACAGCATTTTTAGCAGGGTTGAGGTAAACATACTGAAACTGTCCTAGGTGATTTATCTCTAAAACCCTATGTGACCATTTGGATCCATTACTTTCCTTCTATCCTACAGTAGTCTCGCTATCTAATTAGGCAATAGTCAAACGTTTTATGCCGCCTGGAATAAGAATAAAATACCAGTTTTCTGTTGAACCTCTCTCTCAAAACTACTGGAAAACCTATTACCATGTCCACTCTTTTATACGACGTCCAGCCTCCGAAACCCCTCTTCCCGGGACGACTAATTGAAAAATCGGCTACGTCACAACTGTGAAGAGCCCCACCGTCTACAGTAATCGGAGGAAACCGACGGCGACGTCACAAAAATCTCTACGTCACACAACACTTCAAACTTTTTTTATGCGGTTCTGAGACATCGGATTCGTTGAAGAAAGATGTTCAAGTACTTTGCAATTGAGATCAAAGTTTCGGAGAAAACAGATGAGGTAAAAGTAGGGAGGAGGCCAAGAAATCAGTTAATTTGAGAGGAGGGTGACTGTCTGTCTAACAGCGTGATAATCATAATACGGGAAAGCGGAGACCGGTTCAGAATATTGAAAAATCAAAATTTCTGAATCCAAAAGGTCAGTCCTTATGTTTATATCTTTCACGTCTTCTTGGGTTTCTGACGAAGTCATACCTAAATTGGAAAGTGCACATTTGTTCCTTCGTAGTTTTGAAACTTTGAAACATACGTCAAAAGTTGGGTTTGGACTTTTGTCAAAACAAGAAATTTGAATCTGCCCTTTCCCTAATGTTTTGGCTTCAGAATCTGATGAAATCATTGTGTTTTTGTTTCAGAGTTTTAGGGAATCAAAAATGAAGCTGAAAAAGCGTTTTTATTTCCATTATATTATTTTTGTCTGAATGTTTTTAAGTTAAACCAGTTTATTTCCGACTACAATACAATTATCTATTTTAAGCAATATTTTTTAGAGTGATTTTTTCAATTATTTTTTAGAATTAGATGGTATGCACTTTGTTGATCCGTTTACAGCAGAAAATCTGAAAATTGAACCAGTTTTGAAATGCCGTTTCAAAATCAGCTGCTAGTACCGAATCCCTGAAATGTTTGACAAAGAGCGTAAGGGCGATTGGAATATATACAGGCGCGAGATAGTAGACGCAGATGGAAACCTGAAAAAAAAAAAGAAAAGGTCAAACCATATGATCGTTACTGTACTTGTAAGCCAATGTTGAGGAATGTGTGAAGAACGAAATCTCCGTTTTCTGATCCAGTGAGAACAACAAAGTCGACGTTGTCCTCGATGAGGCGGAAGAACAAGAACAGTCGACTGACGAAGTCAATCATTACGAAAACGTAGAGTACACGGACGAGGGCTCTGAAAAAAAGAAGCTCGTGTTTGGAAATAATGAACCGACAATCATTTTACGTCAAAAAGTCAGTTACTTTTTTGTTTTCATTTTCTTTCAGGGTCGGGTGACCGGAATTTAAACCTAGAAAAGGTTAACTTAAAAACGAAAACAAGGAAATATAGTTTACTACCCACTTTGAGAGAGAAATGCTAAACCCAGGGTCATAATTCAGTCTCTCCTTTTTGATCACAAGGCAAACGGTCAGAAGAAGAAATGAAATTGCCGATGGAAGTAGCAAAAGTGCAAGTCTGAAAAAAACTGATTGGATTGGGTTTCGAACCTAATTGGTTTACCTGGCGTAAATGAAACTTTCGAATGGTAGGACAAAGTTTTGAAGACCGGGACTCATCAAAATAAAAGCAAAGACCAGTGGCGCTATGAGAAAGTATGCTAATCGTTTGCGGTTTTCGACGAATGGCCAATAACCCTGAACTTGTTAAGAAACATTAAAATAACAAAATACTTGGCAGAAAGTTCGCTGACCACATATAGACTAGCATATCTATCAAGCGCAATGTACATCATCATAATTGACTGCAGATCGAACATCGGTTGTAGCAGAAAATCGGCCAGACATCGCCACAAAAACGCCATCTCACCAGTTTTCTGAGATTCGTTCCAGACTTGCTGAAGATCGACATAGATCTGAAATGTGTTTGTGAATTTAAGGGAGGCGAGACAGCTAAAATTTCGGGGGACAGTTCGAGGGACGAAATTGTGCCGCGCTTATGTAGACCATCGGTCGTCAGGCGCCTTCGCGCCCCTGTAGCTCAGCCGGTAGCGGCGCTGTGCCCCTGAGCTGCCAGTCATGAGTTCAACCCCTCATGGGGGTTCTCAATGCAAAATATCAGGAAAACTTTTTTTTTGGTGTCTGGCCTCCTTTAAATGACATCTGTGATTAGTAAATTATTAGCTCGACTTCAGAGGCTGTGCCGTGTTTTTTAGAAACGTTTATAAAATGTATGAAATTTCCGAAAACATTCAAATTTTTACAATTTAAATTTTGAAGATTTATGTTTGTCTGTAGTTTTAAATTAGGTTGAAAAACTCTTTCTTTAAGGAATTAATGGTCAAAAAAATTCTGATGCTCGAAAAAGTATTTTTGATTCACAAATAATTCCAGTCTTCAAAGAAAATGCAGGTCTTTAATAAAATGTTGAACCATTATTCAATTCAGCTCCTTCGAATAAATTCTGATCCTTGAAAAAATCTGGTCCTAAAAAATTTCGGAACTTGAATTAAAGAAAATAGTTTTTTTCGTAAAATTCCAGTTTTCTTCTGATTCTCCGATTTTCAGGTTTTCTGATTATTTAATTTTTTCAGTTGCATATCGAAATGGACAAAGTGAAACCTTCCATTTTTATGACTCTGTAGGATACTCTTTATAACCCTGTTGGATACTATACACGCTCATAAAAAAGGATTGTCATCACCTAATCCATTGTTTTATTGTCATTTTGATGATAATTAGGGCATCTCTCTCTCTCTCTCTCTCTCTCTCTCTCTCTCTGCATATATCTCTTCTACACGTCATATGATGACTTAACTTTGATTCCCATCCTCTTCACATAATTACCATCTCCAAGGACCACCTGGACACGCCCACTTAGACATCCCCTATATAAGGCCCTAGCTGATTCCCTAATTCATTGGCATTCGATGTTCTCTCTAGTGATGGAGCGGATCGATCAGGTCTAGGACAAGACTCTGAGACTTGGTTTAAGCTGGAATGCTCTCAGGCGCCTTTTGGCCAGTCTTTGACATTCTGGATCATCTCACCCCACTAATAATACATCAATCTATGGAACCCCGGTTGGGATCCTATTTATTTGATTTTTTTGAAATTCTACGACCCTCCCTGCTTTATTCTTGTTCAATACGGCTCCCCCAAATGCTAGTGCAACCGTTGCAAGGAATAATGTTCGACTGTAGTCCTGCTTTCCAACAAAATACGTTTGCTTGGCAAAATCCAACACTTGGAATGATGAAATGAGCATGATCAAGAAAGCGAGACAAGCAATAGCCCCCATTTCCGGAAATTATGCAAAATACATAAACCATAGCAGCTTCACAAGGGATGAGTAAGTTATAAAATAGTTAATTAGGCAATCAATTATAATTCTTTATTTTCAGTTCGTGCAAGTGTGGAAGCTGGAATTGCAGTGGATTGGTTGGCAAGGAGGAGAATGTTCAAGTTAAGAGGAACGGATCACAGGAAAAAAGACAAATCACTACAGACACCAACTTCAAACAACTCGGCTTAGGAGGTACAGTTGGGAATCTCATGGTACGACCATCATGAGTACTACGACTACCATGAAAACCATTTTTTTAACTTTTGGAACAGCCTGAATTCTTCAAAATTCAACCCAATCCTGAATTTTTAAAACATGCTTATGAAACAGACATTTTTCAGAGTAAAATGGAAAATCTGATGTGCATCCTATGTTGGATGGAATGCAAGTGCCATCTGCGAGCAGGTCAATCCGAGAAAGTTCGAAAAAGAAAACAGAGCAACCGATACAGCGAATCTTCGAGATACTTTTCTGAAAGTTCTGAAGAATGATCCAGAACTGACGAATGAGATGAAAAAGACGATTCTCTCAAACGAGCACTGTCAGCACTCAGAATGATCAAAAATGAAATAGTCAAAGGACGCAGATAATTACAGTTATGTGTTAAAATTACTGAACCAATAAAACATTTCTTTAAAAATTGACACTGTTGAAAATGAAATGTAAAATAGGAAACGTACTATTTTCAGGAAACTTCCAGATAAAAATGTACGTTGAACATGAACACAATTCAATGACCAGGATTTTTCAAAGATTAGAATTTCACACTAAGACCCAATTTTTATACGCAACACATAAACCAGCCGCAAAGACGTTGTTCCCAGCGTCGTAAAGTTTTAACAAGCTTGAAAACTTTTTGATCACTTTTAATGGATCTCAGAAAAGTAGGCTCAAAATTGATAGTCAGGAGTGCAACTCTATAAGAGCTTTCACCGGACACTGAAACATTTTTGAAATAAGGTATCCAAAGAAATTCTTTCTAAAACGTCGAAAATCCAAAAACTCTAAAAATCTTTTCTAGTTCCCAACTCACATCTGTCAAGCAATCAAACACAAACACCAATGTCATCAAGATGCAACTAATTGTCATAATGAGAGTGAGGAATAATACGAGAAGTCGGATTCTGAAAATGTAAAACGTTTCTATACACCAGCAATGGGACTCACTTGAGGATGCCATGTTTGTTCCTCCCATTGATAAGATTTGCCACCAAAACTGAGATATTGCAAATGATTCCCAAAATTGATAGACCGAGTCGTATAAAATCAAATATGCTTGTGTTCAGAACGCCCGGGTAGGCTAGGTTAGCGCTTCTGGAGTAATTAAGATACACTAATTTACTTTTTTTGTCGGAACTCACGTGTTGATAAACTTATTGAAAGTCACATAATCTATTTGGTCATGATGATTGTAATAATTGTGAAGCAGCGGAAAAATTCTATCCGTCGATTGACTGTGCTTGGATAGGTTCCAGGAAGTATCAATGATTGCAGTCACGTTATCATCAAGAAACGTGATATTTGTGAAATTCATACCTAGAAAACTGATAAAATATTCCAGACTGAAAAAGTGAAGAAAATGGAACGGAGAAAAGGAAAAAAAAAAATCAAATGTGGGCTCAAAACTCGCAAGATGCACTGAACACGGAGTGCGTGCTGGAGGATCATCAATCTACTGGTAGAGTCGTTAGGTATTCACAGAGTCTATCACGCTTCTATGGATAATTTTTAGTATTCACACACTAATGTAAAAGCAAGGGATGCGTAACAGAGCGGGATAGTAGGAGAGAATTTGGTTAGTTATTATTGAAAAATAAATATGAAGATGTAACGAATTTTAATAGTTAATAAGTTAATTTTGAAAGATGGAAAATGGATCATGACTTGAAATATATTATTTTCGAGCCTCGTTTTTAATGGATGAATTTTTTTTGAGTGATCTTCATTGAAAACATATCGTTGGTTTGAGGAAGGTGGACAAATTATGAAAATTAAAAAAAAAACCAGAAAAAACCTTATTTTCAGGGCCCCTGAACAAAAACGTTAATAATGTTCAAATTAACTAAATTTTTCAGATAACTTCAGAAAAGAAGATAATTAAAAAATCAGGTTTCTCGAGTTTTTTGAGTTTCAGAAATTTATTAAACTTAGCATTTTCAAATTTTCAAAGATTATTACAAAAATGGTTAACACATTTTTTTGACTTTGGAGATAGAGTTGTCTTGGACATATAATAATTTTCTAACATATTAGACAAATTATTTAAAACTTACACTACACAATAGCTTGGCTGTAGGTCGAATTATTTCAAAACGGTTCTTCAAGTCCCCTATTTTTTAATGTCATGTCATATTTCTTGAGACAACTAAACTCAAAAGGAGATAATTCAAAAAGTTATTTTATAAACATTGGTAACAATAAAAAATTTGAAATGTTGAGATTTTTAAAAGAATCATACGGATTCGAAAAAAATTTGAAATATGAAACACAAAAAAACCTATTTGAAACCATCGACGATTAAATTGTTTTGAAACCTATTATAACTGTTCCAAACTGCTTTGAAAAACGGCCATCAACTTCACACAAATTGTGTGAGGCTGCAAAATAACAACCTTTGCAAATCTCAAATCTGACACGGTACAGTTAAAATAGAGGATGCAAGATTACCCAGGGAATAGACGCACAGATTAACCGGCGTCGCTTTGTTGATTTCAATTGTCCGGTTTTACAACAACCTCCAACCACCACCAAACTTTTTTCATATAGAGGAAATCATCATAAGTGCACGCGCGACGGACGCTTTCAAAATTTTCGAAAGCCATAAAAATCTTCTTCAGACAGTGTCATTATATTTATTAGTAGACAAGGAACAAGAGGGAAAAGTGGAAAAAGAACGGTATTCATTGCTTGAAAGAGTGCATTTGGAAGAAAAAGAAAAAATGAGAGAACACAAAACTTAATTGTTTTAAAAAGGATGAATTTTGTTCTAGAACGAAGACAATAGTTTCTAATGGGGATGGTGTAGCTCATTATTTTTAATGTAGGACATGATACAGTTGTACAGTAACGAGACCAGGTTCACATAAACTACTCGTAAGGCGGGTGGCAAAAAGTAGAAATTGATTAGTTGTGCCGGAGGCCAAAGCGTGAAATCGACCTGTAAAAATGGAAGCGTGTAGAGGGGAGACACCCGGAAAATTATGGTTGGAAGTGGTATATTCATTGCATAACAAGAAACAAGTTTCCTATAGCATCATCTTTCCAATGACTAGCAAGTAGAAGTTGTAGGTAGATCAAGTTTTTTCAGTTCTTGACATACGTATGTCTTTGAGTACGGAAAGAAAATGTCTCTCCGAGAATATTTGAATTGGCTGGACTACCTCATTATCAAACACTTTATGTGTTCGTGATCTTCTATTATTACTGAACAAAAATTGTAACCAGTTTTTCGTAATTCTTGGTCGGTTGGCAAGTAAAAATGAATGATTTTCGAAAAAAAAATATCGTAAACGGTCTTCAGTCCACGCAATCAGAAACGAATACGTACTTTCCAGATATGCCACATTTTCCGACGATACTCAGCAAATGCAGCCTTCGGGGACTTTCCTTCATAGATGGCTCCCACTGAAAAATTAATTATAGACGGTACCAGTCAATAAAATCTTTTTTCTAATTTCAATCGGAATCTTTGAAATTTCTTTCCTGCTTTTCCTCAACATACAAACCTGTCAATAAGACAGGAAAAACGTGTTTTTTTTAAGTATATATTTTGCATATTTTTACCATTTTTAAGACTCTGGTACTCGGCTATCAGATTTCAAATCACTTTGAAAATTTTAAAAAAGTTAAAAAAAGAAAACGTCTCCCAAAAATTGACGAATAGCTGAAGAACTAGGAAGTTTAGAAAAATTGCGAAGTTTTCAATCTTTGTCTTTTTTACACTCTAAAAAGTTTTCAAAGTGATCGGAAACTTGAAAGCCCAGCTTCAGACTCATCAAAATGGTTCAAATGGATAAACGTTTACTTTTCGTTCGAATATGTATTATCAACAGAGATTCTGGTTTCAGCGTTTTTTACTCCGGATTCTTTCGGACTCAATCAAATGTTTTTCCGGTTTTTGTATTTTCGAAGATACTACTTTTTTTCTGAATTACGCGTTTCTCAAAAACATTAAATAGAAAAAATACAATTATTGCGTTTTTTCAATTCCAATTTATCAAAAATCAACTAATGAATTTTCATGTTCAACACCGCTGAGTTCCAATTTTAAACTTCGAAATAATAATGAACGATTCTTGACTCCATTCTGATTTGTTTCACTTTTGAAAATTTTTTCAAGACTAACCAGTAATGAAAGTACAGGAAAAGAACGGAATGAACGACGTATCCCAAGCCAACTTTTTCAACACCCGACAGTTTTTGGACCCTTTGAATTTCCTTGTATCCAAAACACGATAGAAGCAGTGCAAACTCGGAGCCATGACTAATCCAATCGCAGCCATTCTACCTGAAACCTTCTATGTTTTTTCTCATCTTCACATGTATTCTTAAAATTAATTGACACTGACTTTTGTCGAATTCGCTTTTATAATTTCCCAAGGGAAACGAGAAGAAGGAATGAATAGCGACTTTTTTTCGCTGACCTTGCAGCAAGCTAATTAGTTCAAAAACGCGAGTTTGTCACGAAAGCTGCAAAAAAGGGTAAAAAGAGAACTTTACATGTTCGCCGCCAATCCCATCCGTCGCGATCGACATCTCCATTAATGTGTTGCTGAATTATGTCGGCAGTTCCGATTTGGGCGCAACTTGTTCCAATGTTTGTTAGAAGCATGTGACGAGCTAAGAAGTTTCGGGCATGATTCTGGAAAAAAAGCGTTATGAAACAATTATAAACTGGGCCGAAATTTTTTTTGAACTTTTAAAAAAACTTACCAGCGCTAAAGACACGGTCATTTGAAGTGAGTAGACTATTAGACACCCGGGAGATTCACAGGGGCTACTGAAACACAAAACTATTAGAATAACGAAATTCCGACTTTCAAACTCTACCTAACTATGAATCGATAGAGAATAGAACTAAAGCAGTGAGAACTCAAAGGAAATGAGAGAATAAAAAAAACAAAGTCGGGTTTACGATAAGTCCTTTGATGGTCAGGAAGAGCAAGTCAATTAGTCGAAGAGCTTCCAAAACGAAGACTTTCTATTGTCGTCGCTTAAAATAATTGGAAGAGTCAAGAACATAAAATGGGACAAGTACGCGGGTAGGACACCGTCGAAACTAACTCTGAGCAAGAACACCTCGTGAAAGGAAAAGACGGAAGGAATGGCCATGGAACGACGGGACCGCACGAAGGAGGCCGCCTCGAGAGCAGCTTTTTACCGATGGTATCACTTGTCCATAATTAAATTAGACTGCCTTTTGTTGATTGAATTTTGCAAATATTCAGAGTACGTTTCACTATTTTTATCCTCTGTGGGCAATGCGAGAAGGACTGCGTTTAATGAACGATGACGTGGCGCTTTCTGAATTTTAGGAAATGTCGAAGCGAACAGAAAGAGGTAGAAAACATACTGGGATTAGATGGAAATGAAAATCTGCACGATGCAGAAGCAAAATGTCGAGGATTTCAAAAAGGCCTGTTAGTTTTATGAGCCGTCGTCGAATCTCGAATGAAATCCCTTTTTCCTTCAGAAAAAAATTTTCCACCCACTTGACTTCTTTTTGCTTTTTTTCCTCTCTTCTTTTGTTTTGAGTGTTCACAGTAATTAGACTTTCAAAGTTTTTGAACAATAAAATTGAGTTCAATATAATTACTATGGTAAATAAAAATAAATGATTTCAGACCATATCTTCAAAGACCAAAAAAATAAAATCGAATCAAATATGAATAAATTGTTGGTGAGTTCAAAAAATTGATCAAAGCTATTTCCTTGTATACACGTTTTGGTATAATACTGGTTACTGGAAACGTTGTATTCACAGTACTTTTTGAAAATCTCTAGTTTTTCAGCTATTCGCCGATTTTTGAAAGTCACCCTTTTTTCCCGTTTTTGGACTGGTTACGTGAAAAAAAACCATTGTCTTTCAGAAATTGGCAAATTGCTCAAAAACTGGAAATGTTCAGAAAAATCTGTTTATGCGAAATTTTCAATCTAAGTCTATTTTACACGCTTCCAAGTTTTCAAAGTGATCAGAAATTTTACTCCGGACTTCTTCGGTTACTGTAGTGATGCGTTCATCCAGATGTTGTGATGTGATGTATATTTAGTGATCTTTTGCCAAAAAGTTGTTGAAAATACAATTGGAGGATTACCATGACTTTTTCAAAAAGCGTTACAGTAGTGGTCAGAAAAGAAGTGCCTAAATAACCATTTTTGAGAAAATTTATCAGTTTTCTGGTGATTGATTGAGCCGTAAGTGTTTTGTTTCCTCGGCTTGAACATATCACGTTTTATGATATTTCTGTTGTAAAGTTTTTTGAGCAATCACTTGCCAAAAAGGTTTGTGAAACCATTTAAATCAAAAAAATATCTTCCAGTGTTTTTACCAAAAAGTTGTAAACTAAAATCGAGAAGTTCTATATTTGGTTGATTATCTCTAAAGGTGTCACATTAAATGGACCAGTGCTATCGAAACACTAAAATTTGAGAAAATTCAAGATGGGTATTAATTTCCAGCTAGTATTGATGGCAAAAATGTTGGAATTAGATCAATATTAACATTCAAAGATCTGATTTTTTTTCCCATTTTTTTTCTAACTATTCCTTTTTGCTGGTGAAATCCTCAAAACATTCCATTCAATCTTCAAGTAGATTTTCCTTTCCTCAAGACTGTTTCAAGCCACTTGTAGAAGAGAGACCATGAAATACAAGACGGCATGTCCATGTCACCGACATCTGTTCATTGTACTTATTCATACACAACGGAATAAGGTTCAAATTTCGAAAAACAATACGTCGGACAACCGGAGATCCTATGGAGTTATATATATCTCGGGTGGGAGAGAGTATGATATGAGGATAAGTGCTTTCTCGCCTTTCGTTTTGTCAATCTCAAGAGGCGCGAATATCAACGTTTTTGCACATTGATGATATATCTACCAAGTGACCATTTCCTGTGTATCTCTCTTCACAGATTTTGGTGTTTCATTTCTCAAATGTTCTTTTCTCTTCCTTTCCCTTGTATCATCCTTTTTTTCTTCTGTTTTGAAACTATCATAAATAAACCCCCAAGGAGAGAAGGAAAAAAAGGAAGAAAACGGAATTGAAACGTGTATATATATATATGTGTACATTTCTTTTGTCTAAGGTTATAGATTTTTCTTATTCTGTCGTTTTTCTCGCCTCCTTTCTTCCGTTTTTCATTTTTTTCGCTTTGGGCCACCGAGAAATAATTAATCATAGTAACGCAAACACTTATTCACCACACTCGGGCCTAATCGCGCCAACAACCCCGTAAAACCATTTTGTTCGCTTTCATCAATACGATGAAGACGAAAAGAAATTTGATCCGCCAAGAACTTGACCATTTCGTTTTTTCTCATCACTTCTTGGTTGTTTCTATTGTTGGCTTTTGATCGTAGAAAAAGCAATCCCTACTTTTTGGTGTAAGGTCATAATCAGTATAAGTAATTTAAGAATAGATTTTAAATTATACTGTCAAGTTGAGTTACATAACTGAGATTACCCAGGCTTCTAAAAAAGATACTATATTCAAAATATTTGAACTTCCCATGTTGCTTAAAATCAACAGTCAAGAAACCAAAAAAGTAAAAAATTATTCCGTCTTTTTTTGAAAAAATAACTATTTTAGTCTTACACCTCAAGCTAAAACTTAGTAACAGAAATTTTTTTAAAGCTTGTGAACAATTATGGGCTCTAAAAATATTTTTCTCGGAATTTTTTGGTCCTTGCTTTTTTTACGCGGGGTGATTTCAAAACAGTGTCGTATTTTTTTTCTAATATCTTTTCTGTACTTGTATTTTCATTGGAACCTAGCAAACTCACGTCGAAATTCAATTTTTATACCACAAATTATGATTTTTGTAGACGTACGATTATTACGTTTCTGAATTTTCCAGAACTGCATTTTTGACAATGAGTGGGATAAGCTTTTTCGAAACTTTGTAAAATCCCGAAGCAGAAACGTTTTCGGAATTTCAGAAACTTGGAAAATTTTTGATTTTTCGAAGCTGTATTCCGAAGAAAATTTTATTCTGAAGACTTTGGAAAAATTGGAAAATTTTGGATTTTTCAATTACGTTTTAGAAGTTTCTTTTCCTGACCACCTAATCGAACGCAATTTCTGATTTTTAAAAAAATTATTTTTACCAGGACTTTGAAAATCAGGATCTCAAAGATTTTTGATCTACACACGATATTATCTTTAAAGAACTAATAACTGTTTGGGCTTAAGTGCATTGTCATCAGAAGTTTTGTGATTCTATGATTCACTATCTCTTTCTCCAATGAAAAAATAATTTCAAAATGTAACATTTATCGTAAATCTCAATTGTCCATCAAGTATTACACCATGTAGTAGTAAACTAGTCAGAGAAGAAGGAAAGAAGAAGAGAGTTCAGAAAAAAGAATCAGTTGTCATCCCCTATTCAACATGTTTCTTTGTCCAGAACACATTCCACCACCATCTAGACAAGAGATGAGACACGTCACACCACCAAGTGCACCACCCTGCCACCAGTAGCAGCAGCAAAACGAATAAACAATTCCCGAGCCCCCAACAGTCAAGAAAACGACTCCTCTTATCTATTCAACAAATCCTTTTCTCCCATTTTTTCCTCTTCTTCTCGGAACCCTTCCATTCCTTCCTCTTTCTTCATCCAAAATTTCAATCGCGGCGGATGGCAAAAATCCGTGGCTTTGTTGCGAAATGTGTCACAAAAATTTGGGTGTGGAATTTGTAAAAAGAGAAAGAGAGTGTCCCGCACTTACTTTTCAAGTAAAGTCCGACGGGCTACTTGACGCATAGCTCGTCTATCTTCTGTTCCACTTCTTGCACACATTCTCTTTCACCAACTTATTTTATTGAAGGCTTTTATGGGCGTACTAGGCCAAAAAGTTCAAAGAGCCTTTCTCTCAAGTATCTGCCTATAGTTTACGCCTAATGCATAGATCTTTTCTTTCTTGCACTTTTTAGTTTCCGGATGTACAGAATCTGAAATGAGATCCGTTGAACTTCTTTTGACCTTGGTTCCCTTTCTCACGCTTCAATGATTTTTCCATTAAAGAGAGTTCTCTAAAAAAGAAGCTTCAGTTTTCGCATCCCTTCCATTCTCAAATGTAATTTTCCAATTTTTTCACATCTGAACAGAAACACGTAACAAAATTGAATTCATAAAACCATCCGTCTTGCAACATTTCGCTCTCCAGCAGACCAATATTAAACAATACGGACTGCGGCTACCCAAAATTCTTGTTCATGCTCACTTGTGCTCGAATAATCCTATTTTACCTTCCCGTAATCCCACACACACAAAAACCAAGAATCGTCTCGCCATGTGACATAGACAAAACATGGCGGTAGAACGGCGATCCTATCCTTGGCAGACTCCTCAGAACGTCTTCTTTTTCCAATAGGGTCATTGAATGGTGACAAAATCGGAAGGATTAGTTTTTGCGTAATTTGTTCGATGTGTTTATTTGAAAAAAAAGAGGTCAGTGTGGTGCTGATGATGAGAAGAAGGCGTGAAATCGGATAGGAACGTCGTATTCTTCAATTTTCGACAGTTTTTTAGGTTGCGGAGGGGAGGAACAGACAGTCGGGTCGTTAGTTCCTTGATAAGTCGAATCACATCATGTTTCTCCTAGTTTACACTTTCCGCATGTTCTCATTCAGTGTCCTTCGGTTCCTTTTTGTCTATCAAAAGTTTTGAAACAGTTTTTTTAGAAATGGGTCACTGCGCTTTGTGGTATATTTTGAAGCCGAAAATTCA